AAGATGCATTCCTTCTGATGGGCAGCTTTTTTCTTGGTAGATTAACAGCTATCAGTGATTTCTTGGTTTAATGTGTAAAAGATAAGTGATTTGGTTTTCCTGAAGAAAGCAAGCAGCATCTGCAGATTTTATATGAAAACACCAAAGAGGAGAAGACGGCTACGCTGCAATAGCAAATAAAAGATAAAACCTGAAACAAACGCTTTGGGGAAATGAAAGATTAAACAGAAACCCTGTTTAACGTTTACACCTCCAACAAAATGACTTCTGTTCGGTCAGGTTTTAGGCCAGTGCAGACTTAAAAGACAGACAAGCCGATGGACAGAGGTTATGTAGAGGGGGGTTGCAGGGGTGACAGATCAGCAGGAGGCTGCATGGCCATTTCTTCCCCGGCTGCCACAAATCTATTCCATCTCTTTAGAAAGTCAGGCTTCGCTAGCTTCTGGGAGACCTGCAGGCACCGCCGGACCAGCACATGAGCTTTTATCAGCCTTGGCCCAGATGGCACTATGGTGTTACAGTTCTGACACCACCACTGATGTAGAGGACCAAGAAGGAAAGGGGAGGAAAAAAACGGCTGAGTTGATAAATGTGCACATGAGAAGAGAAGAGAGAAGAAGAAAGGAAAGATGTAGCAGGTTTAAATTTAACTCTAAAAACTAGAAAAGTTTTTTAGGGTGCCTCAGTCCCACATTTGGAGGTTGTGGTCCTCACTGCAGCTGCTTTGTCTTCGATTCCTGCTAATCCCATTTTCTTCTCTGCCCTTCAAGCTTCCAATGAACAAAGGTTTTAAGTGCGTACATTTTTTCTAAATTGTATTTTGGGTAAATTTTCTTAATGCAACATGTAGAAAGATACATTTATTTCAACCTAGAGAGAGACTCACGTAGGGAAAAGTGCGATGAGAACGATGTTATTGACATACATGAAAACAGTTATTTGACACACAGGCCCCAGACTTTGATGCGATGTGATAAAGAGAGCTTGGATGAATAACTTAGGGGATTAACAGCATATTTCTCATTGGAAGAGGAACTGAGAGTGACTGTGTGGTGGAAGGTGGAATGGAGGTGGAGGAAGTTCGTTTGGAGAGCAGAAGGACGGGGTGACCATCATCGATTGGCGGGAGCTTGAGAGAGGCGTGTCAGCAGGTGGACCAGGTGAACTTTAATGAATACTCTTCCTGGTTGAATCTTCGCTTAAGCATTATCATTGGGAATCTAAGATTATATATAGTCATTACCTCTGTGCAGCTCCCCCAAAGTTATGATGGCTGCTTCTAATCAATCCTCTCTGTACTGCTATCTCAGTCTTGCTCTTGTAGGTTTGCAATATGCTCTATTTTCTCCATTTTCCAAAGAGGTGCCTGATTAGTCCTATGCGAGACATT